GAATTCGGGACTCCAGGGAAACACGATGGCTTAACCAGCAAAGCTCCGAAAAGTGGAGAATATGCTGGACCCCGCACAACCAGTGAGGACGCGCTGTCCAAGTAGTATCCAAGTAGGCGAGAAGTAAAAGTTGAAGACACAAATGGATATCGGATGAGCAGAATTTTCGTTTACTCAGATAGCAGCCACAATAATGCTGAGATAGATGAGGAAGGCGAAATCCACCGAAACGTCAGCTTGTACGTAAATAAAGAAATAAAACAACACCTCGTGTTTGCTGAACAGAAGTGGAAAGAATGCTGAGGTATTTGCAAAACTTGGACTCCAAGCCAGAGTGAACTCCGATTTCACTTTCTAGGGGTCATATATTACGCGCGGCATCACTAAGACCCTCTTTCTGCCCTGCTTTCGGCCAGTTTTCTACCTATTGGTCCCATCAGCAATAATATAAGAAACACATTATAGTATGAAGACATACAGAGTCTTCTCTATCAAGTGGGAATAGTCTCTGTAGTATTGATTCATCATGGTGATTGGGAGCAAATGACCAATAATTACTAATTACTATCTAAACTTTTTAAAACCTATGTGTTAGGATCACAATCAAGTCACTTTTTTATTTAGTGCCCACTCTTTTTCCATGGCAGGGTATAATGTGAGATACAATACCGAGTTGAGAGCTCCAGGTCAATCCTGTTGACGAGTGATTGCTGATGGCGCCTATAAAACATGGTTGAGAGAAAGACGAAGAGCAGGACACGCATGGTGTGGTGCTGAACGCATCAGTCCGCTTAAGGGGTGATAGCGTTTTTGATCCCCACCACAGACTTTTACCCTGCCATGAAAAAAAAATAGGCAGTGAATGAAAATTGACTAGATTGTGATTTAATCTGAACGCAGTCGAAACGTCAATAACAACGCGCAGTAACCTAAACAGCATCATGTTCTCAGCACAATACTACCACTTTTTCAGCGAAAAAGAAGTAAACAGCGTGGCTGCACTTCCAACGCAGTCTTAATAGATGTCTATTTTGAATTTATTCCGTGGCGTTTTCCGTATGCATTCACTATAAATCTTTAATACACTTGTGTCCACGAAAAAGCTCTCGCTAGCCAATACTCTGAGGTCTTGATGAATTGAGAGAGTCCGTCGTGCATTGTGGACATCATATTAGTGCCCCTCTTTACTTTCCCCATCACTGTAACAAGCCACTTCCAATGTATTGAGCTGTCTTCGCACGTCTATAGTCGACCACCTCTGTAATCCGTATCAGATCGCCTCGAGCGTGATCATTTCTTGAAAGTCTCTCCAAAAAAACCAAATATTTATCGGCTCTATACACCGAAACACTCCAGTTATTGAGAAAGTTATCACATAATGTCCTGCAGTGGAAAAATAATGAGTAGCACATAAAAGTCATACGCTGTGATTTCGGCTACAGCCTCAGCTTAATAACTGTGTTCAATGCCGATTTGTTCTCTCCAGATTAGTCCTATCGACGGGTGCTTACTGATGACATCGTTGGGTAGAAAACTGGTAGACAAAAAGGCAGAACGAGCGGCTAAGTGATGCCGTTCGTAACACGTGAGACCACAGAAAGGATAATCGCGGATCAACCTCGCCCATTGTCCAGGTTTTGCAAATATCTCAGTATCACTGTAGTTGTATTTCACATAACTCTTTGCCACGAGAAAATAATGGGCAGTAGATAAAAATTACCCAAAGTTATCATTTATTATCGACAGCCACCATCGTTTATTGTCTGCTGATAGTCATTCGCCTGAGCGGAGGACTAGTTGGACTAAGTTCGTAATCGATATAAACAAGAAGGAACGTTAGTATGAACTTAACCAGTTTCAATTGGGCATATAGCAACTGTGTAACATATTTGAATATATTTCGCTGTATGGTCGGCCAGAACAAGTTAGTGGATGTAATCACCAGTTTTCTTACTATTCCATTTAATTTTACCGAAATTCTCTGTCCTGGTATAACTGGACTTAAAGTTGCATTTCATTTTAAGAATCCCAGCACCATCGAAAAAATAATGAGAAAGTATTGGCTGAGAAAAAGGTTTCTGACTAGTTTTAGCAGAGTATTTTCTCAAAATGCTAGCAGTAGACAAATAGATATAGAAATGGAATGGAAATAGTTATAGATCTAGTTAGAGATAGTTTTAGTAAACCAGACAATTTTCATAGTATACACAGATTAAATAGCTACTTTTGCTTAAGCAGTTTAGTTCGACAGCTCTGGTTTAGTGAGTATTTCAGAAAGCACGACAGGCCAAAAAAATATATTTCGTCAATTTTTAATCCACTGTTACTGCTGCCATTTCTGCCATTAATTAACCCGAAAGCTACTTGGCGATAACGGGTTTCGAACTGTGTAGACACGCTACAGAGAAAAAAACAAAAAAGTACACCTTGTTTGGTCCAAGAAATAGAAATTTTGTCATCCTAACGTCTATAAACTTGCATATTTTCAGAGCTTTGTAGGTCCTAGCTGTTTCCATTTAACCTAATGAAGTTCACTATGAGTTGAACTATGTTTCCTTCAAGTTTAAAAGCCGAATTATTTCTGAGCGCATGTGTGGTGATGAACGCACATCATTATTAATGTGCTAGCAAAGAAATGAGGTGGAAATTTACTTACACATGTTTCGGCGACCAGCCTTGGTCCTATACACTAGCTTATCCCACGCAGAGGAACGCCATGTGGTCGGACGGGGTAAGAAGACTCAATCAGCTCGCCGATGCTTTACACAACACTGCTGTCGCTGAGCGAACATTTACTCTCATCGCTACCTCTGCCAGTGCTCACAAATCCACACTTCACCACTCATCGACGCTTTATTTTACGAAAACCTGACCGCTAGTACCGCTCTTCACAAATGCACTTAACGAAAATCATAGGAAAAGGTTAAATATCAAATGGACGAGTTCAAATGTTACGTCATTTTAGATCCTTGTCTTCATTATTGCTTGTTTATTAAGCACAAAACATAATTTCTGGTTAATCTCAGGTACTTTGACTCCGCCGAAACGCTATAGCTCTTGCATTCAATGATTTTCTTCTTTTCTCTCCTTTTCGATGATTACCTTCGCGATGGAAGCATGTTGTGCATTCTAGTGGCATGTGCTCTGAATTCATCATAAAGAAGCGCCGTGCTATGTCTTACATCCATGAATGTCATGTTAACTTTGTTGCTCCATTAAACACGGTGAATTATGAATATCAGATACCCTCAAATGTCGAGGGCTAGCAAACGAAATATTGACAAGTAGATCAGCATAGAAAGCGTTAATATGAAGGAGGAGTGTTTGATCACCTCTTCGAGAATTTAACTCATAGACTGTTAAAATCAATGTTCGTCATTACCAAAAAACCAGCGCTCAGTTTCTGTTTGAGTGACCAGGTCGTACGGCATCGTATAGCTGTAGGCGGTGAAACGTTTCAATTTCCGCTAGAGTGGTACTGACTGTTTGCGACACCTCGTGGAAATGTTCTCTCTGCGTGTTTGCTCAGTCATCAAATGAGAAATCCGGATACTACCACAACGTTGCTGAGATATTTGCAAAACTCTGGACCGCAGGTGTCTATGGTGGGGAACGAACGCGCTATTATCCTTTCCGGGGAGTAACGCGTTCACCACCACACCATGCGGGTCCTTTGTTTCGCACGTCTCTCAGCTATTTCTATCGATCTTTTTGCCACAGCAATCACCCGTCAGCGGGGTTGATCTGGGGAGCGCAAATCGGCATAGAACCCAGTTAAGCTATGGCTGTAGTTGAAATCACAATGTTTAACGTTTTGTTTTCTGCCTTCTATAATTTTCA